GTGGAGAAAGATTTATATGATTTCTTGTCAAATATGAGATCATAGTGGGCTAAAAACAATATGATTGGTGGAGGAATACTTGCATGAATGTCATGCAAAGTTTTGGACTGATTTGATTTTGTCTAATTTCACTAACTATAACAAGGAGCCAAGATCACTATTACACGCAACTTTGGTTTTAGATCAAAATTATTGATATCAAACTCTTTCCTCACATGGCCGAACCTTCCTCCTCAAATTCCTTTTAATTTTTTGTGTTCAAATTAGTTTTAAACACAAATTTGTAAAGGATTCACACATACTAACTTAGAAAGTGTTTTGAAGTGTTAACACCCACTCATTACGTCTAGGAAGCTTCAGATATACCTTAGGAAGGTTCTTTGTTGTTGAAACTTCATTGAAAGGTAATAAATATTCACATATCTAATTTAAATAGCTCATTTTAATATATTCTTGTGTGTGTTCAACAACTCCTTGTTTCTGACCCCATCACTACCCACCGCCAATTATATTACTCTTTTCTTTTAGTTTCACTTCTCCTTAAACGACAACTTTCAACTTGTAGAAGACCATCTACATTAACTCTCATGGCTGCCTCTGCCTCTGCCACTACCAACCCCATCACAACTCCTCCCACTTCCAGCCCCATCGTAAAAAAAAAAAAAAAAAAAAAAAAAAAAAAAAAAAAAAAAAAAAAAAAAAAAAAAAGAAAAAATGATCATCGTCATCATGGCCACCATCGGCATTGGAAAATCCTGCCTTTCTATCGATCTCGCCATGGCTAAATTCTTATTTCTTTCTAAGATTCTTAACTAGACTTTTGGCCAATATAAAATATTCTCAAGATCTTCTAGCACAATTCTATTGCTTGTAATATATAATAAGACATGAAAACTATACTCATACCAATCAATTTCTAAAATGGTCATATATTTAATACATAAACCAAACTTTTATTTCTTTGATGTTTCCTTTCACATCTATACTTGGGAAAACTTTTCTATTCTTTGTATCATAAAATCACTTATTATATATTGTTTATACCTAATCTCAAAACAAGAAACAACGATATACTCATTTGGCCAAGCCATTATTTGGATGATCTTTCTAATTTTAAGCATACAAGCTTGACAATTTATTGTGTATATTGTAATATTATAATATAATCACTCATCTTTTATTATCATCAATACTACACTATTGCAACAATTTAATATACAATTCTTGCAATCACTTTTCTAAAGTCATAAGTTTCAAAACTCATAATTCAATGACTAAATGAAAATTAATGCTAAAAGTTTAAGCAACTTGAATCATGCACTAAAGGCCATTCATTTAATTGAACTAACATAACCAAGTATTATTCTAAATTTTGGCATAACAAAATGCACTCTTAAACACTTAAACTTATACTTGGTCAAGTCTAATACCACTTTTTAACATCAATTCTTTCCTTTCTCAAACAATATCTTCAATGATATTCAACAAATTTATGTATGCATTTCTTTTTGAATTTTTATCAAACAATTTACATGCTAATACAAGTACTTGGTTGACCACACTTCCACATCTCTCCAAATACCTAAAAATTGGAACAAAACTCACCAAAAACTCAACTCCTAATCTGGCCGAAATCATCATTCCAACATTCCATCAATACTTCTTCCATATTTCATCTATAATTCGCCAAATCAACACATACAAATGAACTACTCTTCATGGCTGAACTTTTACACATCATTCAAGCATTTAAATGGCCAACAATTCTCACCATACATTATATACAACCATACAATAATCAAGAATTACAATTATGGCTCAAAACAAGGCTTAAGTTTGATTCACTTACCTTTTTCTTGCAAGAATCCTTTTCTTTGCTTCCTTTGCTCACTTTCTCCACTGATTCATGCTAAAACAAATAAATTCATGAGAACTCATACTTATAAAGCACAAATCACAAAGAGGTTTTAGACTTTTAGTTATAGGATTTTTTTTTTTTTTTTTGGTCAATTTTCAAAATCCCCAAAGAGATTTTTATTTGAATATGGGTGAATTTGTCAATCTTAAAACTAAACAATTACATATCGCACGTATTACTTTCGAAAGTATCACATATACCCTCAAGCTTGCGAGCTTGTTGAATTAGTAGCATGATTATTACTATCCTACGATATGCGATACGTATCCTTCGATATGATACGATTTGATACAGATTGCCAATGATACATATCAGAGAGTATCCTAAACTTTTCGATACATTCATATGTATCCTACGATATGATACGTATCTATTTGTATCCTTAAAAATATCGATATAAATTAATATGAATTTATTAATTTGGGCCAAAGATCCAACAAAATTTTCAAGTCGGATCTGGATCACCCAACCCAGATCACTAAAACCTGCCCAAATTTACCCATTTTGTATGGAAAAAGTGAAGAGAAAGATGTGGTGCCCATTTTGCATGATAATAATAGCACAAGTGGAGATATATATATTGACATTGATCTTGGAAATGATATGAATGGTTGAGAGAAAATGATATAGATTCTTAATTTTGATTATGTAATACCATAATTTAAAGCCAATAATATTACAAAATTCATTAATTAATCTTGGGGATGATATTAATTTTTAGAAAATTTTTATTATTTTTTTTTTTTGAAAAAATCGTATCCTATGATTCGATACGATACACGATTTGAAAAATTATGTTTCGATACATGATATGATACGTGATTTTACAACCATGTTGAGTAGTACCATGTTTGAACTCGACTCGACACTGTAGTTGAGTCAATTGAGCTCGAGCTCGAGCTCGACTTTTTCAAGCTAAGCTCGAGCTATTGCCAAGCCGAGCCTGAGCCGCTCGTGAACAGCTCGGCTTGAATTTCACCCCTAGTTATATATATGTTTCTCCAAAAATAAAATCATATCTCCGCTGTTGTTTGCCAATCAACTAGTGAAAACTTTTAAAAACCACCAAACCTTGAGCAAAGGAATAATATAATATCAATAAGTTGAAAGGAAATGATGTAATAAATCTATGAGAAGAAAAACCTTGAGTAAATGTGTTGAAAATCACATCCAATGCACAAGGAAATACAAGAAAATTTTGAACGTGAAAAAACTCTCCAATGTGAAGAGAGCAAGAACCACAGGAATCTAAAGATTCACTTAAATCTAATATAATCAAAACAGTTTACAACAACCACAATCAACCAAAAATATTTCACACTAATTTAGAGCTTAATCACAACTTTAACACAAGTAAAATACATAAAGGTTTACAAAGAGAGAGATTAAAATCACCAGAGAAGCAATTAAACTTTGAACTGTATAACTCGAAATCCTACAGTTAAAATGAAAACTCAATTGTCTAGATTAAAAATTTAACAAGACTTTGCCTTATTTACTCATCAACCAAACAGAATACAAAAAGTATACTTAAATAAAAAAAAATTAGAATTCAGAGCAATATTACTAAACAAAAAGGAGGTAAAAAACAACAAAAGTTTGCCTCATTTTCTCATCAATCTAAAAGACTAAAAACACCTTATAAATCAAAATAAAAGCACCATAGTATTCATAGCAAAATACAAAACAAAGAATGTCAAAAAAAAGAACAAAATTTAGCCTCATTTTCTCATAAACCTAACAAACTAAAAACAACTAACTAAAATAAAATAAAAGAGCAATGCTAGTTTTACCAAGACACATACAAAGGGGGCATACAAAGACAATCCCCATCCTTGATTTTCATGATTTCTCTCTCTCTCTTTCTTTTTTTCTGTTTTTTCTTTGTTTTTTTCTTCTGGATGATGTCACTTTGTAGCCCTCTTTGTATGGGTCTTTGTAAGGATATCATTTTTCAAAATAAAAACTGTAGAATTTAGAGCAAATTACAAAAGAAAAAGACAGCCAAAATAATAATAATAATAATAACGAAAATTTTTTGCCTCATTTTCTCATTAACGAAACACAGAACAAAAGTTAAACAAAAAATAACTAAGAATCCAGAGCACAAAAATGAAATTAAAAAAAAAACCTAACACATTAAAAGAAAAAAAAGTAGAAAAATTAATCTCATTTTCTCGGCAACGAAATAGGCAAGATACAGTTGAAAAGAGCGAATACCTTAGAATTCAGAGGTTGAAGTTGAAGAGAAGAGCAAGCTTGAGTTTGTTCAAAGGTTAGGTCTTTTCTGCATTGGTTTGGCTTTTCAATTTTTTTTTTTTTTTTTGGTTTTTGATTTGAGCATAAGCTTAGGCCTATCCTCAGAGGGCATGAGTCCCCCACTGCATACAGGTGATTGAAATAATTAAAAGATTATCATAATTTATGGTGCTCTTACCACATTTAGCTAATCATCACTGATTTGTATATGTTAAGATTAGAGGATGTAATTGGACCTACAATAGCCATGGTTCCACCTGATAAAAATGCAACAGTCACGTGAAGACGATGAGGCCATTCTATTGTGTTTGTTGAGTCCAATTTGTTATATATTTGCCAGCTTTTATTATTCCTTTATCTGTTATATGTTTGCCAGCTATTGTTATTCTTTCATCTATTTTATCTATAAATATCTGCATGCACTGTATACAAAAGATGCAGAAAAGAAATACAACTTGCGTCATTCCATTTTTAGCTTTCTGCAGTTTCCATTTTCTTTACACTATTTTTGCGCTACTCTCAACAGGGTATCAGAGCTATGACAGATACACCTTTTGGCTCTTAAACCAACGATCCCACAATGCCTTCCAATTCCCAAACCAACCCACAAAATCCTGCCAGCCCCTATTTTGTCCAACCTGGTGAAGGCGCGTCTTCTCCATTGGTTCCATATTTGCTTACAACTGAAAATTATGTGGTCTGGGCAAGAACAATGCGTCGTGCTCTCAATATCAAAAACAAAATGGGTTTTATCGTTGGCTCCATCCCTAAACCCTCAAAAACTGTAGATCCCTTGTATGCACCTTAGGAACGATGTAATGATATGGTGATAGCTTGGATTCAACATTTGGTTGCCTTAGAACACAGATCAAGCATAGCTTATGCCGAAACTGTTGAGGATGTTTGGAACGATCTTTGCGAGCGATTCTGGATTCAAAATGCTCCAAGAATTTTTCAGCTCACCAAGTCCATCTCGGCACTTACACAGGATGATGATTCAGTTAGCCAATACTACAACCAGTTGAAAAGTTTATGGGATGAACTGGAGATTTATGAACCAATGCCGTCATGTTCATGTGGCGCAGTCAAGACCCTGATGGAATATAATCACAGAAGTAGGGTTATGCAATTCCTTATGGGATTACATGACTCCTTTGATGCTATTCGCGCCCAAATACTCCTCTATGATCCTCTTCCAGCACTGAATCGTGTTCTATCTCTTGTCCAACAGGAAGAAAGACGACGCCAACTTCACTCCCCTTCTGCTCCGATTGCAATGGCGACAAAAAGACCCAACCAACGAAGTCATTCTTCCTCCCGCAAGGATCGATTATTCTGTTCCCATTGCAACATTTTAGGCCATTCACTGGAACGATGCTTCAAAGCCAACCCCAATCTTCCCGTATGCACACATTGCAACATACCAGGCCATACCAAAGATAAATGCTACAAGCTAACTGGTTTTCCTCCAGGTCACAGAAACAACTCCAGATCTAAATCCTACGCTAATCAATCTTCACTTGAACATGAACAAATCGGCAATGGACCATCTATTACTCAAGAGCAGTACAACCAGCTCATCGCCTTGCTCCAATCCTTTTAGTCTCCAGCAGTTACCTCTGCAGCAAACCATGCATCTTCCAGTTCCTCAACCACCGAAATTTCACCCGTCTCTGGTATTCATTCCTGCCATTTCACACACACATCACACACTTTCACAAAATCATTTTCCTCTTGGATAATTGATACTGGAGCAACAGATCACATGATCTGTAGCCCCCATCTTTTCACGCATAACGTGTCTTTTGTTTCCCACACCATCAAACTTCCAAATGGCACCACCACATTGGCCACACATGTGGATGATATTAATCTCTCTGATCATATCGTTCTCAAGCATGTGCTATGCGTGCCAACCTTCTCCTTTAATTTGCTCTCAGCTAAATCTTTAACTACACATTCCAATTGTTGTCTCATATTTTTTTCCAACTCTTGCTACATACAGGACCTTTCATCTTGGAAGACGACTGGCATGGGGACAATGCATAATGGCCTTTACCATCTTCAACCTTCAACACCAGCTCCCAATGCTTTACAAATGTTTCTTTATAAATTCTGTTCAAGCTATGTTAACACCACCCGTACTTCAACGTTTGATGATTACACTTTATGGCATTACAAACTGGGGCATAGTTCCATGACACAGCATGTATTAAATGAAATTCAAAAATCAAATTCAAGGCCTACAAGTTTATCTCAATTCTCTTGTGAAATTTGTCCACTTGCAAAGCAACATAAACTTCCATTTCCTCAGTCTATCACCACGGTTACCAAGCCTTTTGATTTAATTTCAGCAGATATTTGGGGACCAAATTCCACACAAGCCTACAATGGCACCCGTTATTTTCTTACAATCGTAGATCAGTTTACCAAATGCACGTGGATCTATTTGTTGCAAAACAAATCAGAAGCCCGAACTTTAATTCAAAATTTCTTTTCCCTTATATCCACACAATTCAACACCCAAATCAAAATAATCAGAACTGATAATGGTGCCGAATTTCATATGCCCAAATTTTACAATTCCAAAGGCACTATTCATCAACTGACCTATGTTGCCACTCCACAACAAAACACTCTCGTTGAGCGAAAACATCAGCATATATTGAACGTCGCTAGAGCCTTAAAATTTCAATCAGGACTTCCTATGCGATATTGGACAGAATTTGTTATCACTGCCGTTTATTTGATCAACCGAACACCCTTTCCTAATCTACACTACCAATCACTTTTTGAAAAACTTTACAACCAAAAACCCACATATTCCCATCTCAAAACATTCGGTTGCCTTTGTTTTGCGTCTACACTAAACCATGGCCGCTCCAAATTTGAACCCCGAGCTAGAAAATGCTTATTCATTGGCTACCCATATGGAGTCAAATGATACAAGCTCCTTGACACTACCACCAATCAGATTTTCCTTTCCCGTGATGTGGTATTCCACGAACACATCTTTCCTCTCAAACAAACACAAACCCATTTGTCTCCTTTCCCCATTGACCACCTCAATCAAACACCTTCTATTCACATAGATTTTAGTGAAGTCCCTCACCAGGACGATCATGTCCCTTCCCCTACCTCCATCGACAACAGTCACATTACCAACCTCACCAACAACACTCCCTCGCCAACCCCACATCGGTCAACCAGAATTCGAACCACCCCGGCATATCTCAAGGATTTTCACTGCAATGCATTGTCTCCATTGACGTCGAACTCCAAGTTGGAAGCCACTGGATCTCCGTCTCGCACAGGTTTGCATAATCCATATCCCTTATCATCTGTCATATCTTATAAGTTTTTATCTCCATCATTTAGAGCATTTACCACTTCCATCTCCATCCATACTGAACCCAAGTTACACATTCAAGCTCTCAAAGACCCTATCTGGCGTGAGGCGATGGAGTAGGAACTCACTGCTTTAGAGACTAATGAAACATAGTCCATCGTTGACTTACCTCCTGGCAAGAAACCGATTGATTGCAAATGGATTTTTTGCTACAAATTCAAAGCTGACGGATCTGTTGAACATGCTAAAGCATGCTTGGTGGTGAAGGGCTTCACTCAACGTGAAGGAATAGATTTTCACGACACTTTTTCTCATGTTGCAAAGATGATTTCCATTCGCACTTTGGTTGTCGTCGCTACCATAAAAGGATGGGATTTGCAGCAGTTGGACATTAATAACGCATTTCTATACGGAGACCTTGATGAAGAATTATACATGCGGCTTCCTCCCGGTCTAGCTTCCTCAAAAGAGAATCAAGTCTGTAAATTGAGAAAAAGCATTTATGGTCTTCGACAGGCATCACGACAGTGGAACACAAAACTTTCATCTTCGCTAGCCGAGTTTGGCTTTGTGCAGTCTAAGTCAAACTATAGTTTGTTCATCAAACACACAGCTTCTTCTTTCACAGCTCTATTGGTCTACATAGATGACATTATTGTCATGAGTTTAGATCAGACTTCCACTGATGAGGTCAAGAATTTTTTGTCCACCAAATTCAGAATCAAGAACCTGGGCTCAGTCAAATATTTTCTTGACATGGAAATAGCTCGCTCAAAGGATGGAATACAAATTTGTCAGCGCAAGTAACCCTAGATATACTTTCTAAGACTGGTTTACTTGTTGCCCGAACTTCCCCTCTACCAATGGAATCGAATATCAAACTCCAGAAAGACCAGGGTGAGGTGTTTCACGATCCTACTCAATATCGAAAATTGGTTGGCAAGCTCATTTACCTGACCAATACACGGCTTGACCTCAGTTACAGTGTCAATCTTCTGAGTCAGTTCTTGGAGACCCCACGAGTACCCCATTATAATTCCCTTCTCAAAGTTCTTCGGTATCTTAAAGAGACCCTAGGCCAAGGTTTATTTTTTCCTACCACCTCCTCGTTGAAACTCACTGCCTACTTTGATGCAAACTAGGCAAATTGTCTTGACACTAGGAGATCAACGACTGGTTTTTGTGTGTTTAGGGCTGGCAAGTCTCTTGTTGCTTGGAAATCGAAAGAGCAGAACACAGTTTCATGATCCTCAACCGAGTTAGAATATAAGGCCATGGTGGCCGTCGTGTGTGAAATCACATGGCTTCGGTTTTTTCTCAAAGACCTTTGTGTTAACATTTCTGATCCAGCCACCTTATATTGTGACAACTTAGCCGCGATACATATCGCTGCCAACCCCGTGTTCCACGAGTGCACCAAGCACATTGAGCTGGACTGCCATCTTGTTCATGACAACATCCTAGCTGGGCATGTTGCCACTGCCCACGTTTCTTCTTTTGAGCAGTTGGCTGATCTTTTTACCAAGCCCCTACATGCTCCGACACTCACGCGACTATTGTCCAAGATGGGAGTACTAAATATATACTCTCCATCTTACGGGGGGATGTTAAGATTAGAGGATGCAATTGGACCTACAATAGCCACGGTTCCACCTGATAAAAACGCAACAGTCACGTGAAGACGATGAGGCCATTCTGTTGCCTTTGTTGAGTCCAATTTGTTATATATTTGCCAGCTGTTATTATTCCTTTATCTGTTATATGTTTGCCAGCTATTGTTATTCTTTCATCTGTTTTATCTATAAATATCTGCATGCACTGTATACAAAAGATGCAGAAAAGAAATACAACTTGCGTCATTCCATTTTCAGCTTTCTACAGTTTCCATTTTCTTTACACTGTTTTTGCGCTACTCTCAACAGTATAAAATTATATTTATTCTATTTACCTTTCTCTTATGTTTTTATTTCCTTAAATTGTAACAAACTTTTTTCCTCACCTACCACCCCAATACCCCACAATATTTTAAAAAGTATTAGTTACCACCCTTTTACCTTGTACCGTTAAAAAAAAAAAAAAAAAAACCCCTCAGTTACTAGCGGTTCTATTTCTTCTTCAACTTAAAAGACATTTTTAACTCTCTACAAGCCCATCATAGATCCATCTAACCTTCCCTTTACCGAACCCACCCATTGTAACCAAACCCGAGAGAGACTTAATAACTTGGACCCATAACCATGATCAGGGTCACCAAATGAACTCGCCTGCCGGTAAAAGATAAGTTGCATAGCTTAGAAACTATGTAAACTAATTTAATAAAGAACCATGATAAAAAATAAACATAAATAATAATAATAACATATTAATTATACCTAAATATCTACAAATTGAAACCATTTTCACTTGATTTTACTAATTAACTGGGCTCACACATAATACTAAGCCCATACCCTCGTCCTACACAATAATGTTGCTAAGGTGTACTAAGCCCAATAAGCTTCTTTAATCATAAACAAGACAGTGGGTCATACCAGTCAACTCTCATAATTAAACATTCCAATCAATTCAGTTTTCATTAAACAATAGATAATGGGCTAAGCTGTTTCTTTCGCAAGAAGGGATATTTTTTTTTTTTTAATTTTTTTTTAATGATAGGGTTCGGGTCAGTTTTTTTTCAAGATCTTGGAATTATCAGTTAATAAAATTTTTAGTGATTACCTCTATTAGTATTTGAGAAGAGAAACATTTTTTTTTTTTTATAATCAGTTTATGCACATCTATACTAGTATTGCAAGATTCTAGAACTACTGACAGGGTAAAAATTTTAATGACTATCCCTATTAGCACTTGAAGAATGACTTAAATTTAATACTTAAATTCAAGACCTTGAGAAATATATCCAATAGTCCTTATCAAATCATTCGACCATCTAAAAGTAGTTAAGGTATTTAATAATTTTAAATTTAGTTTGTTGGGTTATTTTATCACCCATCTTCTCCATGGGTGAGCCTACCGATGAGGCGATGACGAGCAGTTTTGGCTTCGTCTAGGATTTTGAATGTGTTTTTGTTTTAGTATAGAAAGCTAATCATGCCCAATGGTTGTAGGAAATGTGGACGGACACGGATGACATAGATAAGATGAAACAATCCATAGATAAATAGTAATTTACTGTGAATAAAATTTTAATCCAATTTTGTTTAATTAATTTAAAATACCATGTAGTATTTTAATAACACTTATTTTTATATTTTTTCAATGAACTCCATTATCAATTAAATCATTTAAAATTAATTTTTTGATTATATCAAAACAAAAAATAGAATAATTGGTTTAAATATTTTTTAACTTTGGTTTTTTATTAAAACCCCGTGTATTTGGTCTTTTTGTAGTGAATACTTGTCTGTTTTGGAAATATAATCTATCTTTTGTTTTTTTTTGTTTTTTTGTTTTTATGTATTGAGCATCTGTTGATTTCAAAAATATCATCCATTCAATCTTCGAATTTATCAACAATTACATCAATTTAATTTCTAAAAGATATATGAACCTCTCAACATTATTGATAGATTTTGATGTTTGGATTGATTAAACTTGGGTGAATACTTAAACGCCATTTTCTCATAAGTTTAAACAAATCTAACGGTTCATAAAAAATGTGGGTTAAGGTCACATTTTAGAAATTAGTTGGAACCCACTACAAGAAAAAGCTAAATACACGAGTGTGAGGGTCTCATTTTGTAAAGCTACGGGTGCTTACTAAAAAGACAAATAGATGACAGGTTTACATAAAAAAAAAAAAAAAAAAAAATTCCCATTTTTGGGCTAATTATAAAAAACTATGAATATATAAATTTATAAGCCCATAGCATTTAAAGCTTATATTTTTCGCAATAGACAAATATTAAAAATCTAATTTTATATCAGTTTATTAGAGGAAAATATATCTCTTGAGAATCTAAATAGTAATTTACGTTAAAAAAGGTGATAATCTTAATTAAAAAATAACATCAATTATCTCTTAAACTTTTATTCCTTTTTAAACATGTAAATAATTCCTGATTATATAAGGACAAAATAATACTGTATATCATGAACAAATCCCAACAAAGATGGCATAAAAGGAAAAAAAAAACCCCAAGTGGCAGATTCTGATTGGTCAACATGAGAAACCGAAAGTTAATGGAATTTAGACGAGCAAAAGTCAAGTCGTCGAAACAAATAAATATTATTAAAATTAGTGGCAAATTAGTAATTAAACTCCGAAGAATATACTGCAGCGTCATCGCATTTTATGTTGATCTTCTCAACGAGGCGCGAAGCCGTAAACTCTCAAAACACTTGTACCCACGCACACGCCTCACGCGCTCTCACAAATTATACTAAACGCCAAAACTTTCTCGAACATTTTATTTAGAGCCGCCAAGCCGCTGACTGTCTTACTGTCGGCGCGATCAGCTTGGTTGAGTTGTTGTTGTTGTTTGGTGATTAAGGGGGAGCCGATCATGGAGCCGCCGCCACGGCCTGTGGCAGCAGCACGATATATTGCTCAGAATTCCAGGTCGCTTTTTAAAGTTAAACCGTCGTTGAAATTATTCTCTATTTGAGTTTCTCTTTGTTTTCATACTGTCTGTCTAAATAAACAAACAAAACAGGAAGCGAGTGATCTCCGGTGGTGGTAGTTCTTCGTTTATGGACTCCGAAGTGACAGAAATTCCTCCGCCGCTGTTTCGGACTCGGAACAAGAATAGACACAAACCGGTTTTTTTTCTGATTCTGATTTCGAAATTCCACTTCTTGTTTTATGATCAAGTTTAATTTTAATTTTAATTTGTTTTGTTGTTTTGTTGTTTTTAAGTAGTTTGGGTATTTGATCGGATCATTAATTCATCTGCTATCAATTTTTATTTTTATTTTTTTAATTTTACTTCTTGTTATTATTTTTATTGCTGATATTTGAAGGACTAATCATCCAATTCTGCATTTGTTTAGAAATATTGGAATTTTAGATATATAGGGCTCTGGGTATTTAATGTGGTGCATTTGGAATGGGTTCAGGGTTTCTAATTGTATCTTTTGTACTCGTTTGTCATGTGAGAAATGTGAATTTTTATGTGTCATTTCATTTTGTAGATTAGTTGTCATCTGATAGTGTGGATTTTGAGAAGCATTCTCTTTTGTAGGTTGTTGTTTATGAAGTAATTGATGTTAACAGCGATGAGGAATCTGCTGATATTATTGATGTTGATGAGAACGTTGAGTCAAACAACAAAGGGAAGGCAGTAAAATATGATTCTTATGGCTCTGGTAGTTCTCAACATAAGGTGTGTTATTTAAGTCATTGACATACAGGGTAGGCGTGTATAGATCAAAAGTTTTTGTTTCATAATGTTTTCTTTGACTACTATAATTAATTCTTCAAATTTTTCCACAGGTTTCTTCGAAGAGTCCTGTCTCTGGTTCTGGTTCACATAATGTAATCAACCTTGATGCTTATGATGATGCATGTGCTGATTTGGATGATAATTTCATGGATGTTGAAGATTGTGCACTTTTGCAAGCTTATTTTGATAGTGTGGACATTCCTGCTGGAGTGGAGGCACCTGTACCCTGGTTGTCAGATCCTGCTTTTAGGAAAAAGAAGACAGTTAATGGAAGTAGTTCATCATATAAGGAGCCTACTTCAGTGAGTATTTCAAGTTTGCAGAACTCAGTGGGTGTTCTGGGTCATTCTACTGCAGCAGATATCTCTTCACCAGGGTTATCTCCACAATCTACCCTTGTCAAAGCTGGTTTGCAAGATAGTGAGAGTTCTCCAAATCTTCCGTATGATGGACTAACATTCACTCCTTCCCAGCCTGGGCAGTATCCCCAGACAAACCCATACCTGTTTAACCCAGACCCTTTTTTCTCTGCTGGATTTTTTCCATTTTCACATGGGCCTGGGCACGTTGGTACTAGTAGTATACCTGGGCAAGTTGGTACTAGTAATTTACATGGTCAGGTTGGTACTAGTAATTTATTTTATCCAGGTGCACCAAATTATCCTCCTGCAGTAGAACCATCCATGTCTTGGTGGGATGAGTCTTTGAATCCTGAAGTGGATTCAAGTTTTGTTAGTTATACAACTCATCCAAGTTTTTATGATACTTCTGATGTCTATAACCCACCAGCAGAATCAACAGATAACCCTCAAGATAGTACCAATAATAAACTATGTGTAGAAGAAGATGATATTTTGAAGAAGTACAAAACTTTTAAACAGTTTGATACTGTTGAAGATTATTCCGATAATCACTACGCATCTATGTCTTCTTCAATGAAACAGGTGACTAGTTATGCAGTTCAAATTTTTAAGGCGGTAATGATATAATTTTTTTTTCTAAATTGTTATAAACTATATGGTTTTGTTTTTTTTCCCCCATCTTTCTGATAGCCATCAAAGAATTGGGTGAAGCGAATCCAGGAAGAGTGGAAAATGCTGGAGAAGGATTTGCCAGGTAAGTTTTAATCTTTATTACTGGGGCTCAAGACTTGGTTTGCATCTAATAATGAAAATTGACTTTGTGGGTACAGTAAAAACATAATAAATATCTGTATGTAGAGTACTTGTTCACACCTAGCTGATCCTCAACTATTATCTGCTCAAACTTCCTCATAACACTATCATTCACTTTTGTTGTCCGATCTTGTACTTCAACAGATACAATATTTGTTAGGGTATATGAATCTAGGATGGATATTTTGAGGGCTGTGATTGTAGGAGCAGAAGGTACTCCCTACCATGATGGTCTCTTTTTCTTTGATGTATTCTTCCCTAGTGGCTATCCCAATGTACCACCGGTATGTCACTGAGGTTTTTTTTTTTTTTTTCTGTTTTCTGTTTTCTGTTTTCTGTTTTCCTTTTTCTTTTTTCTTTTGTATATATATATATATTTTTGTGGTGGGATTATTTTACTTCTGCTGGGCATTTCTTTGTGTGATGACTTGGATTTTGCCTCTGCCAGCTTGTGTATTATCATTCTGGTGGCCTTCGACTCAATCCGAATTTATATGCTTGTGGTAAGGTTTGTCTCAGTCTTCTTAACACCTGGTCTGGTCAGAAGAATGAGAAGTGGATCCCTTCTATGTCAACCATGCTGCAAGTTCTGGTCTCTATACAAGCATTGATCTTGAATGAAAAGCCTTACTTCAATGAGCCTGGGTGGGCCTGTATGAAAGGCACCGTAAATGGAGAAAATGAGTCCCGGAAGTACAATGAGAACACATATCTTTTATCATTGAAGACGATGCTATACACAATGAGGAGACCTCCAAAGGTATGTTGCAGTAATCATTGCTTGACATTTTCTTTTCACATTTCTGAAAATGGCATTGGTATTTGCATTAAGGTTGATATTATGTAAATTTTAAAGTAGAATAATTGTTCTAGTAATAGTTCTGGTATTTGAAATTTTAAAAAATGTTCCATTTTAGTGGCTCTTTTCTTGTCCAGCAATTCATGCAAATTGTTGAGATGTATTTGATCATGTGGAGGCGATGCAAGTTAATAGTTCTAGTTGCAATTCTCTCAACTCGTACCCAGAAAATTGCATGAATCTCAAGTTAATTTTGATGAATTTTTGCAAATTTTGATGAATCTAAAGTTAATATTATGAAATTATGTGGTATCTGGACTAATAGTTACCGTGCTCTTCTTTGCCCTCAAAAGTATCTAAATCCAAATTCTTGCATTCCCCAAGTCTTATGTTCCACAAACTTCTTTTATCTTAAAGCTTCAAGTTTTATGTATAGAAAGTGATGCCACAGACTGAAACCTTTGTTCAGCAAAATTAAAGATCATAAGTTGGGTAGCTGGTTAGTATTTAATAGTTGAATGTGTTCCCGTTGGAGATTGAAGCTTGTTATGTACTGAAAATTCTGAAAAATATTTTATATCCCTATGTATAATATGCTAGTAAAAATTCATATTTCAAATCTTCTATCCTGAGCAATTTTTTTTTTTTTTTGGATAAACCCGGTAATTGCCTCTCTCGTGACTCAAATCACAAATCCTGAGCAAATTTTGTGTCTTAGTGGATAGCAATGACTCAGAAAAAGTTCTTTTGCACACAGGACTAGGTCTTCTAAACTGAAAACTATATAGAATGCTGCCCCCTTGACTGAAAAAGATGTAATATGTGTAGAATCCAAAGATCAGTATATTAATTACCTGAACTACTATAAATACTTTATGTAGGAAAAATACATTCTTTGTGCTGGGGATCTATGAATTCATTTTTGGCTTCCAAAGAGGATACTTTCTCCAATAGAGTTAAGGTTCCTGCATAATTACTATGAGTGATCTTCATTTTGTTTGCAGTCTATGAATGAGCTAAAATGAATATTGCTTCTGTAGCTTCCCTGGGTGTTTATTTCCCAGCTTTGGGAATTCTTGATTGTTATCCAGTTACACTTCCCTCCCTCTTTCTTTTCATCCTTCTTTCTGTATTCAAAAATTAAACTTTTCAATTCTTGTTTGGATGCAGCATTTCCAGGATTTTGTTGTAGGCCACTTCTACCAGAGTGCTCATAATATTCTCATTGCAAGTAAAGCATATATGGATGGGGCTCAGGTGGGATCTCATGTCAAAGGCGGCCCACAGCTTATTGATAAGTGTAACAGGAGCTGCCCAAAGCATTTTAAGGACTCTTTGGCTGCAAATATCGATTTGCTTGTAAAAGAATTCAGTAAAATTGGAGTCAAGGACTGTGAGAACTTCCTTGCTCAAACAAGCAGAAGGGTCCCTGTGGTTGGTAATCATCTACCTAAGGCTAAGGCATCAATATAGACAATTTCTTTTGAAGTGCTAATTTTGAGATTTAGACGCTGAGCGTTATTTGACTAAGACATTCAAGTTAGGTTTTCGACCTTATAATGTTAGCTTAGGTTTTAAGTACAAATAAACGCATGTTTATTTCTGTAGGGTGCCTGCCTGCCAATAATTTTGGATATTGTACATAGTTGTACATATGGATGGGGTTATTAAAGTTCAATCTATTTTTGAGCACATTGTTATGATGGTACCCTTTCTTTATAATTACACCTTTTCTCATATTGTTCTCTCCTTTTTAGTGGTAGATTGAGATAATTCAGGTTATGAATATGAATATTTATAGCATATCTATTGTTATTATATCCAATTGATCCCATTCAATCTGACTTTAATAATTAGACCCCAAAGGCCGAAAATATGCAATTTCACTACCATACCATTTTAATTTGTTTTGATTGATCCAAAATTTTGTACTTAACAGTCATTAACATATTTGATTAGAATGTTTATCAACACTTTTGGATTATTACAATAAGGTTTTTTGTGGTTTTCCAAGTCTATGTTGCTTTCCAAGCTTTCCAAGCCGGCCATGACTTTATATATCATGACAGCGACTAAAAGAGAGGGCTTAATATGACACAACAAAAAACAAAGCAGTGCTTCAAAGTTCAAACTATGTCCAAAAACTCTAAATTATTTACTAATTAATGAAATACCTCATATATTATGACTTATATTCAATTAATATTTGATCTTTGGAAATTCCCCAAGTCTTCTTGAAGCTTAGTTTGTCTTTTGGGGTGTAACAAGCCGGAGTGCTCCATGTATCTTGACATAACAAAAGATTTAGTAGTTCAAAAGACTCCAAAATTCAGTAGCAATTTCACTTCTTCTTCAATTATGAATCTTTCAACTTTGTTATCATGGATTCGTACTTTGATATTTTCCATTCTGTTAAATGCTTGTTCTTTCAACTTTTTGTTATCTTCTGCAACTCAACTCTCTTATGCTGATCATTGTAACTCTGTTGTCCCTGCATCATCCATAACAAAGTATGAACATGCCTTGTTCTCATATTTTTATCTCAGAACTGGTTATTATAATGGGGGCAATAGATTTCTGTCTCAGTACCAGTCTGAGGGCTCACACACACTCTCATTTCGGCGTCAAAGAGTCTATAGAACTGAGCAGGATAGTGTGTTCAGTATCGAAGGGTTTTTGGTGTTTCCATCCCAGAGCACCTACTACTATCTGGGAAATGTTACAACTTCTCATTTCGGGACTGGAGTACTTCGTCGTAGAAGATCAATAAGTTTCAGTCTAGAAGGGTTCTGGTCAAAATCTTCTGGCAAACTTTGTATGGTGGGGAAAGGTTATATCTACACCAAAGAAGGTAAGATTCTCAATCTTCAGGCTGTCCTGAAGCTCAGTAATCTCAGGAATTCTAGTACTACTATCTCTACTTTGGTTACTGGAACTATGGAGAGCTTGAGTAATTCTAATGATATGAGTTATTTTGAACCGATTTCTATAATGATCCTTCCAACTCCAAGATTGAATTATGAGTACACTTTGGTTTCAAAAGAATCAGGTGATGAGTTTTCTGGTGCAAATGAAATTGTGAAGGGTTTACCAATTAGTTCACTGCCCTCGAAAAGTTTCTGTTCAATAATCTCAAGAGCAGTTAATGAATTTAATTTGAGATACACTGGTGATTGTGATTCTTCAAAAAACTGTGGACCTTTTGGTGCAGCTGTTGGATATTTGCCTACTGTTGTTTCCTTTGAACGAATTCAGTGTCTGGAAAAGGAAAAAAGAATGAGAGTCTTGGTAGATTTTCCTAGCCGTGGCTATGACGAATCTGACCAACCTTTCAATCCTAACACAAAATTGGTTGGGGAAGGCTTGTGGGATGACAAGATAAATCAGCTGTGTATTGTTGCTTGCCGATTTTTGAACACCACAGATTCTTTGTCTAATTCCCAAGTTGGGGATTGTACGACAAAGCTGAGTTTGGGCTTCCCTGATATCTGGTCAATCAGAGACATGAGTTATGTTGTGGGGAAAATCTGGAGCAACAGATCTGAGAATGATTCAGGCTACTTTGATAAGATCATGTTTAAAAGTTCTGAGATTCCTTTCCGGACATTTCCAGGTCTGAGATATGAGTACACAAAAATCAACAAAGCAAGAAGCTCATGTTGGCCGAAAGGGAAGCCAAAAAAGAACAAGGGGAAGGGATACCCAAATGCGTATTCTATTGATATGCGATTCGATATGTGGGTTGAAAGCTCTAAGATTAACACTTCATGGGGTAGTGCAACTCCCCTTTCTGTTGGTGATGAATTTTATAGTCGGTATGCATATCAAGCAAGGGGCCAAAGCTCAAGCATTTCAGGATCTGCAGTTCAAGCTAATCTGAGGGATAACAGCCCTGTCAATATCAGCTACATAATTAGCATCAACCTAAGATCTTCTGTATTTTGGAGATATGAGAGCCTAAAGTTTTCTGCAGAAGGAATTTATGATGCAGAAACAGGACAGTTGTGTATGGTAGGTTGTAGACATATTGCTTCAATGAATCAATCATCCATAAATGACTCTAAGGACTGTGAAGTTCTCATCAATTTCCAGTTTCCTCCATCAAATCCGGAGATGAATGAAGGTTATATCAAGGGAAGCATCCAGAGCACACGGGTGAAATCAGATCCTCTTTATTTTGAAACATTATTTGTGTCTTCAGTTACTTATTCTGCACCTGTGATAAGAAAGTCCATCAAAAGGATGGATCTGGAGATCATCATTGGTCTTGTAACCAACACACTTGCTTGTGTTTTTCTGGGATTGCAGCTTTTCCATGTGAAAAAAAACCCTGATGTGCTTCCCTTCATTTCATTTGTTATGCTTTTGATTCTTACTTTGGGCCACATGTTTCCCCTTATGCTCAACTTTGAAGCCTTGTTCTTGCAAAATCCTGAACAGAAAATTGCTGTGCTTGGTAGTGGTGGATGGCTTGAAGTGAATGAGGTGCTTGTCAGGATAGTAACTTTGGTAGCTGTCTTGTTGGAAGTTCGCCTTCTGCAGCTATCATGGTCTGCAAGATGGGATGGTTCAGACCAAGTGGGCTTGTGGTTTGCAGAGAAGTCAACTCTGTTCATGTGTTTGCCATTATATGCGGCTGGGGCCTGGATACTATCGCTTGTTAACTGGAGTAAGCAGAGACATGATTTTTCATCGACTTTCTTTCGCCTAGCACGCCCGCAGCAGTCTCTTTCACAGAACTGGAAATCATACGCTGGTTTGGTCTCGGACGGATTTCTTTTGCCTCAAATTCTGCTCAACACATTCAGGAACTCTAAAGAGAATGTTTTGTCTTGTTCATTCTACTTTGGAATCACTTTTGTCCGATTGCTGCCACATGCTTATGATCTTTGCAGGGCTCACAACTACAATCCTGTTGGATCATATTTATATGCCGCTCCTAATTCAGATTTTTACTCTACTACTTGGGATGTGATTATTCCTGTAGGGGGACTGTTGTTTTCTGCAATCATTTTCCTGCAGCAGTGGTTAGGAGGCCAATGCATTATACCCCGGAAATTCAGGGAGAGTGAAGGATATGAGGAGGTTCCTGCTGTTAGTGAATCACAACTGCCGGATAAATCTGGCCCTTCAGATGAGAAAATCGTAGCTGCTGCAGGCTCAGACTTAGATGGTAATATATGATTATCTTGCTGTTGTTTCTTGCTTATTTCAGCTGTACTAGTTGTCACTCCATAGAAAATGTACAAGTTATGCAATATTGTGTTATTTATCTCATATTTAGACTACGTTGTATCAAACTAGACTCGATTGTCTGGCATTTAACAGTAAGATTTAATAACCCATAACAAAACCTTGACAGTTTATAATGGTAATTTCTTTAGCCTTTCTAAACAGAATAATTTAATACGGTGGACTTCTGTAAAAAGTATAATCCAACTCCAGAATTATGCAATTTGCAATTATATTGTTCTAATGTGTTATGTTTGATCCAAAATTTTGCACTGAACAGTCATTAACATGTTTGATTGGAATGTTTATCAAACACTTTTGGACTATTACAAGTCTATGTTGACTTTGAAAATCATCCAAAGCAAGGTCTTTTTTATTCACAAATCTCTCTGCGGCTTTATCTTTCTTGATGAATAACTTTCCAAGCCGGCCATGAGTCATGACTTTTGCATCATGAAAGCGATCATAGTCATGCATTATTTTGTGATTTATCTCATAATTAAAAAAATAAAAAGTCCTGCGCCGGACTAAGAGTACAGTACTTGGTCCAAGTAGAAAAACAGTGAGGTTGGCTAATGTTATTGCTACGAAAAAGCTGGAAGCAGTTTGCATTAACATCAAAGCCAGATAAGATAAGAGCGGGGAGTTTATGCGACCAAAATCCTGAATTTATGTATGTATATTTGTATTGACAATACCTACACTATTTAGGTAAAACTATTTTAAAGAACCAAATGAATAAAAGAAAGAAGAAAAATGGCAGACCGATAAGGGGTTCTCCTATTATCTTCTCAAATTAATGGAATAAGAATGGACGTCTTTTTAATATCAATGTTGTATGAAACTGACTTTTCCTAAAGTTTATAGGAGATTGACAATCAATATTGTCAGTCATGTTCCCCATAGCAACTTTCCGATCTTTGATATAATATATATTTTTTTTTTCCAAGATCAATCAAACGCATTCATGTTGGAGTTGTCAACCACTTCAATAATAAGGGGTCACGCAGACATATTCGGGGGTCCTGTTGCTAGGTTAGTGGGCAGGAGCCCCACCCCTCGGTGAGTTGGTTGGGGTTAAGGGGACAATGCCCCCGGGTCTGTAGGCGGTTTGGGTCTTTTTCATGAAGAGTCGCTGGATTTTTTTAAGTTATTAATTCATTATTAGGTTTTTGTTTAAAAATAGAAATCCCTATAATATTAGATTTTAGTATTTTAAACCTAGTATATAAACATATTTTTCTCTTATATAAGAGTGATAGCAAATCATAGGATAAATTATTTTTATTTTAACGAGAGAGGAGTGACAGTATTGCAATAATATTGACTCTGCTGGACGTAGTCTGTTAATTGGGTGAACCAAGATAAACGCACGTATATTTCTTTCTCTTTACTTGATTGATATTTGTGTGTGTTTTCTGTCTTGATTTCGTGTTACTTTAGATTGTTTCAATCCACACTAGAATTGTTTTATGGGGACACTGCCAACATTTTGATTTGTATTTAAAAATTTAATTGGATTTAGAAATATAAAGATAAAAATTATATATTTAAAAAGTTTCATAAATTTTGAGTAGATTAACATTGTTAATGAAATTCATAAATTTTTCTAGATATTCATTCATGATTCTTGGAATTCTAAAAGTTTGATATCAACAGGATCATTAAAAACATAAATTGTAATAAACTTTGAGAGTTGCTGATGACAGAGGAATCTGAAAATTTCTTTCAAATATTTGTATGAAGTTATGAACATAGAAACATTTAATTGTTAAATACCGAGGTTTTGTTGGATTTTCCAAGTCTATGTTGACTTCGAAAATCAAACAGAAAAGAGACTATCTTATTCATAACCCTCCAAAGAGGTTTTATCTTTCTTCATGTACATACCCTTCCAAGCGGGCCATGAATTTTCAAGCTATTTGAGGGTGTAACAAGACGGAGATAGCCATGTACAAGAAATATGTATGTTTAAGACTTTACAATTCAGTTTCAACTACACTTCTTTTGCAATCATGAATCGTTCAATGTTGTCATCCGGGCCTCATACTTTGATATTTTCCTTTCTGTTAACTGCTTTGTCTTTCAACTCTCTGTTATCTTCTGCAACTCAACCCTCTTATGATGATAATTGTCATTCTGTTGTTCCTGCATCATCCATAACAAAGTTTGAACGTGCATTGTTCTCATCTTTTCGTTTCCAAAATGGTTATTTCAAGGGTGGCAATAGAATTTTGGATCAGAACCCGTCTGACGGCTCAAACTCATTCACATTTAAGGTCCGAAGTGTCTATAGAACTGAACAGGATGGCGTGCTTAGTATCGGAGCGGATTTGGTGTTTCCAAGCCGAACTTGTTACTATGTGCATAATGGTTCAGCTTCTCATTACGGGAATGGAGTTGTTCATAGTAGAAGTTCAATACGATTCAGTCAAGTTGGATTCTGGTCAGAATCTTCTGGCAACCTTTGTATGCTGGGAAAAGCATTTATGGAAACCCAACAAGGTCATATTCTCAATCTTCAGGCTGTCTTGGAGCTCAGTAATCTCTGGAATTCTAGTAGTTCTCTTCTACTTTGGTTACTGGAACTATACAGAGCTTGAGTTCTAGCAATGATTTGAGTTATTTTGAACCGATTTCCATAATGATTCTTCCAAGATTGAATTATGAGTTCAGTTTGGTTTCAAAAGAATCAGGTGATGAGTTTTCTGGGGCAAATGATAGTGAGAAGGGTTTACCAATCAGTTCACTGCCCTCGAAAATTTTCTGTTCATTAGTTTCAAGAGCAGTTAATGAATTTAACTTGAGATACACAGGTGATTGTGATTCTTCAAAAAACTGTGGACCTTTTGGTGGAGCTGTCGGAGATTTGCCTACTGCCATTTCCTTGGAACAAATTCAGTGCCTGGAGAAGGAAAAAAGAATGCGAGTCCTGGTGGATTTTCCTAGCCGTAGCCATGCTCAATTTTACCAGCCTTTCAATCTCAGCACAACATTGATTGGGGAAGGATTGTGGGATGACAAGATAAATCAGCTATGTATTGTTGCCTGCCCATTTTTGAACATGACAGATTCTTTGTCTAATGCCCAAGTTGGGGATTGTACAACAAGGCTGAGGTTGGGCTTCCCTGCAGTCTGGTCAATCAGAGACATGAGTAATGTTGTGGGTAAAATTTGGAGCAAAAAATCTATGAATGTGATGAGAACTCACTCCCAAAACTCAATAAAACAGTAAAATAATAACAGTCAACAGCCAAGAAATAGGAAGAAAATAGATGTGTATTGACACTTAGCAAACTGATAAAATTGGCAGCAAACAACAAAATATACCCAGCACATCAACCCAAAAGGGCAAAATCAAAATATGAAAGGAAAAACAATGCTGGACTTTGAGGGTCAGCTCCTCCCTAATTGCTAACTTCGAGGGTTAGCTCCTCCTAAATTTCAATATATTCTTCTCTACCCTATTCTGCTCTCTCCCTCTCTTTTTATCGTCCAGCTCTCTCTCTCTCTCTCTCTCTCTCTACCTAACTGAATTCCTTTGCTGTCCCAACCCCCAATCGCCACCTGTCCTAGCCTAAACTCATGGAAGTTTCCTGCCAACATCACCAAAATCCCCTACTTCACAACCTTATGTTTCCTACAATAGACCAGCACACTAAGGGTCTCATCAGAATGATTCAGGCTACTTTAATAAGATCACGTTCCAAACTTTTGACAGTTCTTTCAGGACACTTCCAGGTCTGAAGTATGAATATACAGAAGTCAACAAAGTAAGATACTGGTCGAAAGGGAAGCTGAAAAAGAACTAGCGGAATGGTGTTGATCAAGATGATATCCTGCTGGAAACTCATGAAGTTGGTCACTTTTTTGGAGTTTGGAGCTGCAAGTTTTTCAGCAAAATTTGAAGTTCTGCTGCTGTTTTGGTTTTACTGTAACATGGAGCTGAATTTATTTGATTAATATATTGTACAACTTAGGTAAATTCAGCTGTAAATCTGCTGTTGATTACGTGTTTATGTAATGTGATGTGTTAGTAGTTGTTAGAAAAGTATGGCTGATGATTTTTTATGTAAAACCTGCTAGATTAGGTGCAACAGTGATGTAAACCTTGTATATTATTTGCTTTGTCGCTTAATGGAACTAGACCATTCACGTATTGTGTTCTTGTGAGTTAACTTTTCTGTAGTTTTCCTTAGTATACTCCAGCTCAAAACGAACAACTGGATACCCAAATGTGTATTCTAGTGATATGCAATTTGATATAGGGTTGATAGCCCCAAGATTGGCACTTCTTGGGGTACCGTGACTCCCCTTTCTGTTGGTGATGAGTCTTATAATGGATATTCATCTCCAACAAGGAGCTCAAGCTCAAGAATTTCAGGATCTGATGGTCAATTGACATAAAGCAGCCAGGTCAATATCAGCTACATAATTAGCATCAACCTAAGATCTGGTGTATCATGGAGATATGAGGTCCTAAAATTTTCTGCTGAAGGAATTTATGATGTAGAAAGTTTGGTAGGTTGTAGACATATTGTTTCGAAGAATCCATCATTGATAAATGACTTTATGGACTGTGAGGTTCTTATCAATTGCCAGTTTCCTCCATCAAATTTGAAGATGAATGAAGGTTATATCAAGGGAAGCATCAAAAGCACACGGGTGAAATCAGATCCTCTTTATTTTGAAAAATTAGATGTGTCCTCAGTTACTTGTACAACACCTGAAATAAGAAAGTCCATTAAAGGGATGGATCTAGAGATCACATTTGCTCTTATAACCAACATACTTGCATGTGTCTTTGTGGGGTTTCAGCTTTTCCATNAGTTCTATTCAGATTGCTCACAACTCGGTTTTTCATGAACGAACTAAGCACATTGAGATCGATTGTCACCTTACTCGTCATCATCTCAAGCATGGCACCATTACCTTGCCCTTTGTTTCTTCTT